CCAGTGATGTCTGTAGATTTGTGATGCTGTAAGCCAGGGATGACTGTAGATTTGTGATGCTGTAAGCCAGGGATGCCTGTAGATTTGTGATGCTGTAAAAGCCAGGGATGCCTGTAGATTTGTGATGCTGTAAGCCAGGGATGCCTGTAGATTTGTGATGCTGTAAGCCAGAGTGCTCTGTGCTCTGTAGATTTGTGATGCTGTAAGCCAGAGAGGTCTGTGCTCTGTAGATTTGTGATGCTATCAGCCACTGAGGCTGTGCTCTGTAGATTTGTGATGCTGTAAGCCAGAGTGCTCTGTGCTTTGTAGATTTGTGATGCTATCAGCCAGTGAGGCTGTGCTCTGTAGGTTTGTTTCTGCATTCCCTTCCAGCCTCTCGTGCCTGTGCTCCATCGAGGTGTCTCTGCAGGAATGAGCAAACTCCTCATCTCCCTTGGTGCTGCTGTAGTGTAAACTTTGGGGTGCTGCAGCTCTCTTTCCTTTCCCCAGGATTGTTCCAGCTGAGCATCCCGGGTCCCTCTGCTTTCCCCTCTCACTGTGGCACCCAGATCTCCTTGTTCTGTGTGTTCTGCACCATCCATAACGGTGCAAGTGCCAAATKTGCAGCTTCTCCTTCCCCAGTCAGTGTTTGTGCTGGGTTTGTGCTCCCCACCCTGCTGGCATCACACCACTGTCCCYGTAGGAGTTTGTGGCCAGCATGGTGACCTCTGTCCCTCTCTCTGTCTCTCTGCTTTGCTCTGTGCTGTCCCTGAAGGAGCGGATGCGTAGGGAGCAGGAGGCAGCCACGCAGCAGCTTCAGGAGGAAGTGGAGGTGAGCAGCACGGGGGAGGGCTGCAGAGTCCCAGAAAATTGCCACCACTAGACTAGAAGGCAGAAATCCTCAAAAAGAGTTTGTTCCCTGAAGTTGTGTTCTCCGCTCCCTCCCCTAAAACAATGTGGCTTTTTGGGGATAAGAGATGAGATCAGAACTGAAGAAATGTGTAAAGGATTGAGGAAAGGATGGTGGAAAACAGGGGCTGGGTTAGAAACCTTGGCTTCTGTTTAAGGTTAGAAAGACAATGCATGGGAAGCAAAATTGAACAAAGTAGTACAGTGAGTGTGAGGTAAGGCTGGAAAAGGAAACCAGAGGAATTGCAGAGTTGCATTCTCAAACGTGTCCAGGTCCAGACTGGAGTGGCTCTGGATGCTGTTGGAGTGAACAGGAAGG